AGGCGAATCAAAGTGGGTGCCATATCTTCGGAGTCTGACGAACCAGAAAAGGCAGACATAGAATAACGGAGAAAATTCTAGAGAGAGAAAGCTTGAAAGAATTCAGAAGCAGCAGAAAAAACTGAAACAAAGTAGCTGCATCCTTATATAAGGAAATACAACCGCCAGGAATTCGAATGAATAATAGACACGTGTCAAGGCGGCTGAGAGAAGTTAAAGCATCCTTTGGGGTGGGTGAACACCCGAACGGGGTTGAAATCAGCAAAGTTCACGAACCTCTAAAGGCGTCTCCCCGGACGGGATAAAAGAAAAAGGGCTACAAGCGTTTCCCCGAACAGGAAGGAAATTTATAATGGTGGTAAAATGATGGGCGTACCCGAACAGTATGGTTATCTAACATGGAAGAATATGACAGATGCAACAAAGAGAGCAAAAATACATCCCGAATACCGGACACGATTTCCAGCTAGAATGAAAGCTTACGAACGAATGAAAAGGCACAAGGGTCTTATATTAAGATTATAAGTACAGACTGAACGGGTTCATTATACACAACATGTGTTAACAAGATTATCAAGTCCTGAATTCTGGATTTAACAAGGAGTTCACCCGAACAGGTGACCTGATCGCTTCAGATTATGGAGATCAACAAAGCAACATGAAACGTATTGCGGAGGCGAATTGATAGGTGAAAAACAAATATAAAGTACAGTAAAAGTCACAAAGACGAGATGAGCAGGCAAAAGTTGTATATTCATCGGCTCTACTGGCCGGAAAGTACAAAGAAATACTGATTCAAAGGAAAGGAAATACAGATAATGTCTAAACTATTGTTCGGGATGATCTTCATCGTCTTCATCATCGTCTTCATCAGCCTCATCAACAATTTGCACCACCTCCATCCCCAGGGCTCGCCGACACTTTTTCATCTGTGCCATTAGGGCGTTCAGATGACCCGGATGGAGGTCAGAAGGGAAGTCAGAAGATTGCACTACTCGGCCCATGTGTTTTTCCAGGAGGGGAAGGAGGGGCTGGAGCATATGTTGACAGCCTGAGCTGTAGACCCCTCGGGCGAGATTGTCAGCCCACTCCTTGGTAATAGGGTGCTGATCAAGCACCCTGATCCCCTCCTTCTGGCGCTCTTCTCCGGCCAGTTTCTCCAGGTGCCTTCCGAAGACAGCAGGGAGCTGTTCGGTGGCATATTCTTCCTTGAGAGCCAGAAACTCCTCGGAAGCTTTGAATTGATCCCGAACAGCAGATAGATCAACTAACATTTCAGCCGGGCCGTCCGGGATTTGAGGAGGAGCTTCAGAAAACTTGACCTGAGCGGCCTCAGCGGCCGCAATTTTGGCTTGGAGAGAGCCCACTTGGACACGAAGCTCCCCGGCCTCAGCTTCCAGCTTCTTCCGCTCCTCGGCAAATGCTCGCCGTTCAGCTTCCACCGCCTGCTCAGCTGTTTCCTTGGCCATCAGCAGGCTTTGTTCCTTTGCCTGCCTGGTCTCCTTGAGCTTCAGGCTGTATATCCCTGCCTAATGATCGAAAAGAAAAGTATGAGCACAAGAAATAGCTGACAAAACAAAGAAAAAGGTAAAAGTAAATTATGAACAAGAAGCTACCTTCAGGACAGTCAGGGCAATGCACTCCTCGATCTCCTCCACCGGTATTGGGGGAAGGTTGTGTCCATTAAGGAAACCAGAGGTGGACCAGATCTGCCTCGCTGGACAGCCACCCCTCTCCAGCATTTCATGAGCAGGATCATAGAGGGAGATCCGCTCGAACTGACTAGCCAGGTCAGCCTCATGGGCAGCCACCTCCTCAGCAGAGAAATGGTGGGACTGCTGGTCAGAAAAAAGCTGATCCATCAGCGTGTCAGCGTGAGTGTGCTGCTCAGGGGCAACCTGCTGCACAGGTTCTACATCCCGAACGGTTTCAGACTGCTCGGGGACGGGAGGGGCGGATTGAGAGGAGGCGCCCTGATCGGCCTTCCTCAACCTTTTTCTTTTTGTCTTCCTCTGCTGCTTGGGAGGAGAAGTTGGTGGCTCGTCATCAAGTCCAGCAGCGAATAGCCTACTATCATCCATGGCCGGTTGTTCGGGATTGGCTCCTTCGGAATCTGAAGATTCGCCTTGCTTTGGAGCTGAAAAGATAACAAGGACAAATTAGTACCGAGCGGTTCACACGTGGATTAAAAAATTATATCACACGGGAAGGACCACCCGGGCCATGGTACTTGGTTTTCAGTCAAGTAAGTCCAGGAATACGGGCAGTACCTATCCCGGCCTTAATTAGCCGTTCGGGAGTCAGATAAGACATGATTTTGAAGCAGCCTCCTGCCTCCACAGCGATGACATCTTTGCTAAGCTCCTCGGAGATGAATGGCTCGGGGGATTTAGGAGGGAATGCGTTCCACTTCCTAGGAATCAAACCGTTCGGGACAGAGACAAAGAAAAACCTATCCTTCCAACCCTTAATAGAAGAAGGAGCTTCACAGAACAAAATGTGTCCTGGTCGGGAGCTTACCACCAGGAAGCCGTGGGACTGCTGGGGGATAACCGAAAAGAAATAGTGGAAAAGCTCTAGAGTGGGTATGACCTTGACACTGTGACAACGACAAATGAAACCAGCTATCGACCGGTAGGAGTTCGGCATTATCTGAGCTGGTACTACATTGTAAAAATTTAAGAAAGAGACAAAAAACGGGTGGAGTGGAAACCTAAGACCGGCCTTAATTGAGTCAAAGTGGACCACTACCATCCCAGGGAAATGACGCATTGGGTGAAGCCCGACCTGGAGTCGGAAATCCACCGAGTCCGGGATCATCATCTGGATTTGGGCCCTATTTTGGGCCGTAAGTTTTTGACGCATCAGCCTAATTAGGGCTAGGTCAAGCTTATGGCAAGAAACGCCGCTAGGGGGACCGGCTTCCATGGCCTCCATTTCACCCCCGGATTTGGTACCATCGGGATAAGTTCCGGATGAAGAGGCATCGTCGTGGGGGACCTCCGCCGGGATAGGAGTGACCTCCAGTGCCAGGCTAGGAGTATTCTCAGGGAGATCAACGTTTGAGGTAGAACACTCGGAGGAACGAAGACGGGTTGCCATACCGATCGAACAAGGAGGGTAGAAGAAAAACAAAGGCCAGAAAGTACCTGAGCGAGAACTAAGGAATAGCTCTAGAGAGGATGAATGATAAGCCGGAGATGCAAAGTTTCGAAACCCAGAATCAAAACCAGGAGAGCCTACTTATACTCTGTCACACCGATTCAGCTGCCAATCAGAAGAGGACACGTTTCTTGTAATGATGACAGAGACACGTGTCGCACAGAGAATCCTTCTCAAGTAATCATGACGTTTATCGGAGAAGTGAAACGGCAGTTGCAAATAACCGTCAAAATATGCCTCGGGAACCGGCGGAATGCCATCCGATACTCACCCGAACAGCATTCGGGCAATAATCTTCTACTTCCTCATGCACTCACTACCGTTCGAGACATAGGAAGTGGGGGACTAGTGTTGGGATATTGGGTCCAGGCCCAATATCCCTAGGCCCAAGTCCGGGAAGAAGCAGCAAGCCCAAAGAACTCCCGAACGGCATTCGGGATAAAACTTATACTTGGAACATTCTGGGTAACGATTATGCCAAGGTATCAAGGCCCAAATATCGATCGGCGTTCGGGATACTTCAGGTAGAAATTATCACCTATGGCGGGGTCCCACACACCGAACACCTTGCCCGAACGGGCAATCAGCAAGTGGAGGCCGCATTTAATGCTGGATCATGACAGCTGCAAGTGGGGGCATGAGTGCTTACATGGCAGAGGTGATAGCCTACCAGATTCGACCACGTGTCCACCTTACCCATCCCCATCTTAGTATAAATATCCATGTTTAGATCATTGTAAAGGGTTAGCATTTTAATACTCAGAGCTTAGCAATAGATTTATATCTTCCATCCTTGTAATCTCGTATTCATCTACCGTTCGGGTAGTTCCAGTGTAATCACATATTTATTGAATATCGGTAAGCTTCTGAGTTGAACAGATATCTCACTGTTTTATATTTTATACACATTTTAAATCCAACCCAATATCCCTATAATATCCAAGGCTTGTGTTGGGCTTTCGGATCTTCGGGAATAAACCTCAACAATACCCGAAACACAAAACGAACCAATGAAATTACATTGCATCACAAAACCTGAAATAACACATAAAACTAATAAAAGTTATAATAAATCCGGTGTTTCACAAAATGATTCGATCTGCCAGTGCATGTTTCAACTTTCACACAATAATGTAAATATAAATATCATAAGTCAACATGATCATCATCATCAAACAATTTCATTCAAATTGTAATCAACTGATAATCTGTTGAATTAAAGTAATGCAAATCAAATATGCAAAAATGGAAACAAAAATTAATTTAATGTATTTAAAATTATATAAAAATAAACCGAAAGAAATATGGGAACAAAAAAGTATGTTTTGTGTCTCAAACAATGTTACCAGTGTTAATAAACCTGAAACAACAGCAATTTCGAACAATTTCGAGCAAAGATTAAGAAAAAGACCTAGGTTTAGCAAAGAAGATGAAATACCCGGATTCAAACGGTTATTGACGATTGAAGGGAGCACAAACGATCCTGGTAATACCGCGCCTCTTTTCCCTTTGATTGGAGCCGCGTTTGGACGAGTTGTTGTTGTTGCAGAGAAGACGTGTTGCAGAGAGATTTCGTTCGTCGATTGGGAAGAGGGGTTTTAATTTCTGAATTAATGAGCCGCCACTTGGAGTGGCGGCTTTTGTGAAGCTATAGAAGAGCTGCCACTCCAAGTGGCGGCTTTTGTTAACTATGATTAACCCAACGGTATTTTGAGAAATATTCTTAACCCGGTAGTATTTTGGAAATTATTTATTTAATTAGCATTATTCCGGGAAAAAAATCTTTCAATTGCACATTTCACATTTTCTTTTTAATTATCCTTTAAACCTATTATATTATCTACTCATAATAATGTAAATATTCTTAATTGAGATGAGACTTGAATCTCCAACATCTTATTTGAGAGATCAACAATGATTCTATGGAATAGTAGAATAAATGGAGAAATTTTGTATTTACCAAATAAGAAAATATAAAAAACACTTCAAAGAAGACAGCTCCAATTTAATTCTAACGCATTTTTGAAAAAAAATTTAAACGAGCCACTCGAATTTATCAATTGGCACGCAGCGTAAATCGACGTAGCTCGTACCACTAGGGTTAGGATCTTGTTTCGCAGACAGCGTTCGGTCCGGTGATAGAACAAGAACGATGAGTAGGAGCCTAGGAATCCCGGTGAAGCTTCTCCATGAGTCGACGGGTCACATAGTGACGGTGGAGATGAAGAGCGGCGAGCTCTACAGAGGAAGCATGGTGGAGTGCGAGGACAACTGGAATTGCCAACTGGAGAACATCACGTACACAGCCAAAGTAAGCCTTCATCTTCTTTATTTTTCAAATATAGATTGGGGTTTTGGGTTATTTCAGCTTTTTGCATAATATGTGATTCTTGTTTGATGTAGTCTTTCTTAAACCCTTAACATTACATAGTGTTTCTGAAATTATCTGGACTCAGAGTCCCCATCGTATTCCGACATAACGTACTATAATCTGTTCGGTATGCGCATATGGAAATTCTATATTCTAAAGTTTAGTGAATTGTTGTTGATTTTAAACAAAAAAGTACAAAGGTCAGATAAAGAGGGGTGCTTTGGCGGATGAATTCTCGCTTTAAATTTCCGAATATTTGTAAGAACTGAATACTGATTATGCCATACTAGTGGAATCATTCTGCCACAAACAAAGGTTCAGCTTTGTCTGCGATTAGGAATTAATGAATTAATTGCTAAGATGTGTAACAAAGATTCAGATGTTAGGCATTAGAACTTTTCTTAAAAGCTTTGGGGTAGAATTGCGGCTCCATTTATTTTTTGAAAATCCTGCTGTGCCTGTCACAAAGATTTATCAGGGAAACCTTTCTAATGGCATGAGTGGATACTTATGTAGTTGACTAGTTTCTAGTGTTAGTCTGTTCCTTATTGTATTTGTGGACATCCTGATTTTTTTGGCAGGGCTTCACAACCATTTAAACTGGATTGATGGGATATATATTTATATTCATCAACGAGAATGTTTCTTGTATGGTAGTCTCTTATGTGGAAACTGAAGTCATCTATAAGTATTAAGGCTGTTTAACCAAGCGAACTTCCATGACTTGCAATGATTTTTATATGGATTTACTGTCTGAATTTAATTAATCCCAGGTTTCACTTTTTCATAACTGCAGGATGGAAGAGTTTCACAACTTGAGCATGTTTTTATTCGCGGAAGCAAAGTCAGGTGATAATCATATTTTCTGAGTGATTGATTGGGTTTATAATAATTATGGACTTTTTCATATTGGATTTTTTATCAGGTTCATGATAATTCCTGACATGCTTAAAAATGCTCCTATGTTCAAGCGGCTAGATGCTAAAATCAAGGTAATTCCATTGTTAACTTTGTTTATTTATCCTTTTTACTGATATGAGGTTGTATAACATTACAAATTTACTCTGTTGCAGGGAAAAGGCACATCACTTGGAGTTGGACGGGGACGTGCTATTGCTATGAGAGCCAAAGTGAGTGCTGCATCTTTTAAGCATAGTTGTTTTGTGAAAAAGATTGAGGAATAAAATAATATTCCTCAAAATTTGCATACTTTAATGTTTTTAAAAGTCTACTGTTTGGAATGAATAAAGGACTATTTCTAAAGGGCCATGTAAGGTTTAAAAGGCGAAATGAATCCCCGATGCGGTTGGCCGTTGCCTCAAATTGAAATGTAAAAACTAAGGAAAAGTAAGTAGGGTAGACATAGGTATTTATTTTTGCAAATTGCAACCATTTCAAAACTAAGCTTGTCATCCATTTCAATGTTTCATCACTATCAAAGTTTGTAACATCATTCTCATTCTCATCCTCATCCGTTTTCATATCACTAGCCTCATTGTCTTCTTCTGATCCACCAGCAAGTTTCATTCTTGCACTCTTACGTACACCAAGTCATATATGTCATAAAGAAAAAATGGGTCAAAACCAAAACTATAATACTCCCCTGTCCCAAATTGAGTTACAAATTTGACTTTTTTTGGGTCAAACAGTTTCATTTTATTCACTTAAATAGGATATCAATTCTTAATTATATTTTAATTTGGATTTTGCATCTTTATAGAGATTTCAATGATGTTTCTGAATATGTAAATTTTAATTTAAATTAAATTATTTATCAATAGGGTGGATTTAACATTAACATTGGTTGGCCAAAAAATGTTGACTTTGCAAAACAATTTGAACCGGAGGTAGTACTATACATACCTTTTGTCTGTTCAAATGGATTTCTGAACACAAACTTAAAGACTTAAAGTACATATCCAATATCTAACTATCTACTAAGTTCTAATAGAAGACAGTGCAAAACAGAGAACTAGCATCGTACATAGATGAGAGCACAAAGTCACCAAATAAAAAAACTGAGTATGATAAAGAGATGCAGGGATGAGAGTTAAAGCTCCGTACAAACTTGTTAGGGGTTACTGACTTACTGCTGCCTGTTGGATCACTATTGGTGATCACTGAAGATAGAGCGGTGATGACTGATGACTATCAGAAGACTGCTCGGTCTTAGGAAGAGGATGGAACATATAAGTTGTATTTGGGAGGGAAAATAAAAATACAAAAGAGGTCCAAGTGTAGTAACTTTAAAAATATCAGCCCAACATCTATGACTTTATTGTGAAATATATAGCAACAGATGATGCTTATGCCTCTGCTTGCCTCTGCGCCTTACTGCCTTTTGCTTCACTCTTATCGCCTCATATATCTCAAGGCGCAAGCCTCGATTATACAGATAGAGGCTTAATCCACTTAGGTGCTTCATAGTCGCCTTTGCGCCTCAGGGGCGTGCGCTTCGTTTGCCTTTGAAAACTTTGGGGCCATGGCATTTCTTGTTTTTGTTTTCTGAAATATGTATACTCCCTCTGGTTCATATTAAAGTTCCTGGTTTGACTTCACGGGTTTTAAGATGGAAAATAATTTGGGGTTGACTTTCCACAAATACCCCTCAGCCTCCCGTGTTTACCACCCTGCCCATGGTAAAAGTTCTGCCGCATGCAGTGAGGAGAGAGAGGAAGCCTGCGGTTTTATTAAAAGCCACACAACCACAAAGTACAATTAGTTCTTTTACAGCCACAAATGAAAATTTTCATATTTCCCCCCATATTCGAACCCCCCCCCCCCCCTTTTGGCAGATTACATTTACAAACTCATACCACTATAAAACACCTCATTCAATACACCCAACTACCTCTATCTAAAAAAAATCTACTTCTACTTTAAAGTCTTCTTCCAGAAATGGACAGTGAAGGGGCAGCCTCTTCTCAGCAACCGTGTGGCCTTTTGGACAACAATGTGGAGCCCCTACCCCATGAAGACACCATGCCCTTGCCAGACCAATACACCATGGTCCAAACAGCCTCTGTACCTGCACAGCCAGACGCACACACAGTCCACGCAGATAACGAAGGACACAGCAGTGAACCCTTACACAAAAAATGGCCTAAGTTGTCACCACAAGACCGAAGTCGCATAATTGAAAATCTGTTGGCCCATGCTTGTGAGGGAAAACTTCAGAGGGGCATGATAAGTAAGTTAGCCAATGATATTAACATCTCTTCCCGGACAGTCCAAAAATTGTGGCTAAAAGCAAAGGAGGCAATGCATAGTGGAGAGGCCATCAATGTGCGAAGTAGGTGGAAAGGAAATGTAGGGCCAAAAAAAGTTTATTTTGATATGCAGCAAATTGCAGAAATTCCTTTACACCAGCGAAAAATATGAGAGCATTGGCATTTGCAATGAAGGTTTCAAAGTCAACTGTGCAGAGGTGGTTTAAAGGTAAGCAAATAAGAAGGCGCTCAAATGCAATAAAGCCATTGTTAAAAGAAGCTGGGAAAATGAAGAGGTTAGAGTTCTGTTTAAGCCATATACGGCCTGAAACAGTGCACTTAACCCCAACGTTTCATGATTTTTATGACTACATTCACATAGATGAAAAGTGGTTCTATTTGTCAAAAGAGACCACCACTTTTTATACTATTCCCACAGAGCCTGATCCATATAAAACTGCCCAATCAAAGAAGTTTATACCTAAAATCATGTTCCTTGCTGCTGTTGGGAGGCCAAGAATAGAAAGCAATGGGAATGTATTGTGGGATGGGGAAATAGGCATTTTCCCTTTCACATTTGAAGATACGGCTAAGAGATCCAACAAGAATAGGCCTGCTGGATCCTTAGAAACTAAGCCCACTTTAAGCATTACAAGGTCAGTCATTAAAGAAATGATGTTGAACCACGTATTGCCAACAATCAAACAGAAGTGGCCACAGCAGCAGGCAAGTCAGTAATCATACAACAAGACAATGTTAGACCTCATATTGATGTTAAGGACAAAGAGTTTGTGAAATCAGGAACTGAAGATGGCTGGAACATCCAACGTAGATATCAACCAGCCAACAGTCCAGATTTAAATGTATTGAACTTGGGATTTTTCAGGGCAATTGATATAATAAAGGATCAAAAGGCACCAAAAAACACATTGGACCTAATACATGCAGTACAGGCATCTTTTGATGAGCTTACACCTCATACATTGAACAAGGTTTTTCTCAGTTATCAGTATGTCATGGAAGAAATCATGAAACACAGTGGGGGCAACAATTTCAAGCTGAGGCATGTTGGAAAAGACAAACTGGACAGACAAGGTATGTTACCTACAGATGTCCAAATCACTCAAGAGCTGTACCAGACAGCTAAGGCAATGTTTGGAGGACAAATGGCAACAAACACATCCCAACACATCCCAAGGGAATCTGTTCATACATGAAGATCAAGAGGATCTTCAAGTTTGAACTGTCAACACTTTATAACTTGTCAACACTTTATAACTGATCATAACAGAACTAGTTCAGATCAGCCAATTAAATGTTGGTTATTTTTTGTTAGTACACAGTATGTAGATGAACTAGGTGGTAGATGAACTAGGTGGTGTACTTTTTTTGTTTGTACTTCTACACCCATGGTAGTACTATTTTTTGACATACCCTCAAATTAGATGTGTACTCTGTACAATTTAAATTTAGCACAGTTGGAATGCAATCTACTTAACACAAAAGCTCAAGTTTCACACACATTTTGCACACATTATGGCCCCTACACTTAAACCATTACAGAAATACCCCCTGCGCATTCAAATTGTGGGTTGCATAAATGTAATGGTTAGAGCATTGGCATTCACAGTTCATTGGCTAACAACAATCACAGAGGAACATCATTCATTACACAACAGAAGCCCAAATTCATCACAAGTTACAAACATTGGCCAAGAGACTTCACACACGAAGGCAATTTCCACAAAATCAGAACAAACACATGAAAGTAAGGAGATAAAGACAACAGAAGTTTACTGTCCTTAATGCTCTTCTTCCAAAATGTTCAGATCAGCCTGCGTCTCTTTCGGAAACCGTCATCTGTCCCTTCCGCATCGCTGCCAGTCCCATCATCATCTTCCTCGCCCACCGGTACCGAGCTCACTTCTTCGCCGGATTCGTCGTCCAAGCCCTCCAACCCGTCATAGGTATCAAAAACCAGGTTGTCACCGTATTTCTTACGCAACCAGGACGGCTTTTTAGTGGCATCGGCCAAATTGTCCATCACAAGAGGACGCCGGTGAGGAGAATTAAGGGGAAGCAACAATGAAGTGAGAGGACGCCGGTGAGGAGAATTAAGGGGAGGCAACAATGAAGTGAGAGGACGCCGGTGAGGAGAAGGAAGGGGAGGCAACAACGAACAGAGATGACAGAGAAGATGGTTCGAGAGAAGAGAAGAAGATAAGGCGTGAAGAGAGAGACGCAAATGAAGGGCAAATTGGGGAACACCCAACAAAAACTTTCCTAAAATAGAAACATGAACTTTAATATGGACCATCCCGAAATGGAAAGTAGGAACTTAATTATGGGACGGAGGGAGTATTTGTTTTTTAAATGTAGTCATTACAAATTTTCATGAACTTAGATCTATAATCTACTCCCTCCGTCCCGCTAAGATTGTCCCATTTTACCTTTTCGGGAAGTCCCACTAAGATTGTCTCATACCAAATTTGGTAAGGTTTGTGTGGCTCTAAACCATTCTTACTTTATTCTTACTTTATCAATTTAATATCAACCACACAAACCCACTTTTCTTAATAATCGTGTTACCTTCTCTTGTCCCAATCTTAGTGGGACGAAGGTAGTATTTCATATCCCCCATTTCATTCGTGATGGAATAATATTCTCATCATTTCAGAATTTTATGCGAACCAAACATTAGTGTTTTCTTGAATGTGAATAATATAGCCATTCTTTCAAAAATCATAATGTGAGTCCATCTTAATTTTTCATGATTATTATTATATGACAGTGATGCTTTTTTTGGAACTTTGAGAGATTACTATAGAATGTTAGAAGAGTTTTGAACTGAATTACAGTCGAGAAGATTGGTGTTGATTTTATATACAACATTTGCAATTTTATATATCTAGCACCTTGACCCACACAACATATTGCACTTGTAAGCATTTAATTATGCTCCACAAAATTAGCGTGTAGAAAACCATTCTCTTGCTAAAACAATCTTTGCTTCCTGTATCCCCTTTCATCCAACTATTCTTCTGGCACTGAATATTATTTGCAATTCAATTTTCTTGTTTCTAGGCACAGGCAGCAGGTCGTGGAGCTCCACTTGGCAGGGGAGGTATTGTGCCACCTGGAAGGCGGTGATCAGATCTATGTCGGAGAATAACATTTCTAGTCATTTCCCTGAAGAGATTTCGTTTTGCTCTGCTTTTGGTAATCACATATTTTTTCTGTACCCTCTGAGGAGTTATTGAGCTTTTCTTCAGTTTAAGAAAATTAAAAATTGGACATACCATGCTACTGCTAACTAAGCTTCTAGTTCTTGTAATGATAGACGAGTAACCGATGTGATTTTATTTTGGATTTCTTTAGATATGTACATTTCAAATTCTGTTTGTCTTAATGTTATGATTTTATTAAAGATATGATTTAATCGTACGCTACTCTATGAGACCTTATGAGACTTGGCTGGCTACCTGTATTCATAGGAGTGTTTGTCACTAGATTGGCTTAGGAACTTGGTTCGTTTTTGTATTGTTTTTGGACTTGTTCTGCCAGCATAAGAAGTTGGACATACTGTACTAACTATTGTTCAGGTTTTAGATGGGTATGAGGGTATCTAATGTTCTTGTTTTCGATGTCTCATTTTTTGCGGTTTTCTTAAATATTTAAATCTCAATATCACTAGTCTTCAACCATACTCGGCCCCATCATGTTATTCCTCAAGGGTTATATTCTGTTCCCAAGTGATGTTATTCAAGTTCTTGTCCCGAGTTACAACTTACAAGCAGATCTCTTCCTTCCTGGGAAAAAACATGCCATGAGAAAAGTTTGAGCACTCTAATTTATACAGAATTTCCTTATTTTTTAAGTTCTAATCAAGTGTTCGACTACTGTGACAACTGACAAGCCAGCATGAATTAAAAAACTTTATAGCTGGTCATCTAAGTGCTACATCACGGTCTCCGAATAATGTTTTTTTGGTGGTAAGCTACCTGATTCAGATAGTAGGCTGACTACGAGGGCTACACGGTGAATAAGCAATGGTAGGGTATATTAGACGTAGTGTAGGGTGGGTGTAGGGGATTGGGTGGGGTAGATGGGTAGGGGTATAAGGCATGATGGTGAGGGATAGGGTGATTTGGGGGTGGGGGTAGGAGGGTAGTGGTAATGTGGTATGGACTAGGGGTGGGGTAGCCGGGTAGGGTGCTTAACATGTTGTCCATTGAGCCATTGAGGTGTTTACTTGTCAATAAAAAAAGTTTTATTGACATTGTGCTTAACATTTTGCTTCATTATAAAAAGTTTAACATTGTATTTTACATGTGTTAATTAGTTTATGATGAAGTTGACAGTGAGGTAAATGCGTCATAAGTGGTAAACGCGCCCTAAGTGTTTTTCGAAACTACAACTTGAAATATTTCTTGAAAATGATAGGAATAGAGTAGACTGAATTCTGCAAGT